CATTTAGTTTATCTGTAAAATTAGAAAACAAAATAGAATTACCATCAAAATTTATAGAAATTTCCGTATCCTCTATTAATGAACTTCTATTAGAAATTTATAATCATTTAATTATTTTAATTGAAGATAATACTATTTTTATAGATGATTATTTTATTGCATATAAACTTGAAAAAACAACTGGTGCTGGAACACAGCTAAAAGATGCTAATGATTTTAAAAAATTTATATTAGATTATGAAAAAATGGATAATAGAAAAAAAAATTTTGTAATTATAGTTACTATGAAAAAAAAAATTAAAAAACGTAAAGAAAAGGTAAATATTTTTTATTAATTTTTATTAATTGAATAATTTTATATAAAATATGTAATTACTTATTATATATTTATTAAGGCTACTGAAATTAGTGAAGAGTCATCAGCAGATGAAGTTAAAGTTAAATCAAAAAAACAAAAAACTGTACCAAAGGAATCAAGCTTATCTGAAGCTAAAAAATTACATAGTCAATATATAAATTTATTACGAAAAAAATACTGGTATACAAAACATACACAAGCATGTTTAATTGAAGATAATTTTTATATTAAATTAACATCAATGCATCTTTCAATTTGGGCCAAAGAGCTTGTAAGTATTTTATTTATATTAAATAATTTTTAAATTTTTTAATTAAAATTTTATAATATATATAGATAAATGGTATTGGTTCTAGTGAAGTACCACCCACTCATCCCATTTTTAATTGTCAACATACTCGTGATAATAATAATAAATCACCAAATACTTCAAGTAATTTTCAAACTATGCAACCTATGCAATCTATACAACCTATACAATTAATGCAATCTATACAACCTATTCAATCAATGCAATCAATGCAATCTATACAACCTATACAACCTATAATTATTCCTATGTCATATCTGTTACCACAAACTGGAATTAATCAAGAAACATTTAATCAATTTTATTCTAATTCTTTGATATCTCAATCAAATAATTTACAAAGTAGAAAGTTATCTATTCCATCATTAGATAATTTTTTTAAACAAGTTGATAGTGAATATGGAAATACTGGTGAATATTTATCTTTTAAGGAGGCATTTGAAAATGAAAATATAACAACTGACATGATATCCGAATTAACTGATAATGAATTTGAAAAATTAGGAGTCATAAAAATAGGATGGAGAAAAATATTAAGAAAGGTTGCAAAATTATATAATTAATAGATATTATTTTAGATTTTAATAATTATATAATTATATAGAAAAATATATATTAATACCAGTATGATCACATAAATGTATAACATGAAATGTGGGAGAGATAGTTCTATTCAACCTTTTTAATGTTCGCTATGCTGATTTTTAAAAAAATCCTTTTTTAGTATAAGTAATGGTTTTCATTTATCTAAATCTAGTAGGAGTTAAGTGCTGGTATAGGAAAATATAAGCGCATAAAATTACATTTAAAATGCTAATCATCAGTTATATCGGTCAGTCAAGCCGCTCTGACCGGCTAGTATCGGTTACGGTTAATAACCGCAATTAAATAGTTATAACTGTAACCAAACCCATTCTTATTCTGGAGCATAATATTTCTTAGTAATTAAAAATAGATAATCAATGTTTAATAACTTTCAATTACTATCATTATCGTTGATGAGATGTTCTTGACCAAAAAAAAATTAATTTTTTTATAATGAGTAGCTTGTCATCGAATTGTGAGATCAGATGACTTTATGGATCACATACTTAGATTAGCTTTTTATAAACTGTAATGGTTTGCTGTGTTGTTCTCATTAGATCAGGTTTTTTTTGGTTAAGTTAAGTGGTGAACAGATATAAATGTCAGCAAATTAGTGCTAACATAAAGAAGTATTTTTATATGGCTTCAAGCATGAATCAGACCAATAGAACGGAGGGAGAAAGATATAATGCAGTGTATTTTAAGGGTGGTGTTTTTAGTAAAAAATGCTAATATTACTCTTTCCTATCGCTTGGCTACTCTATCGTCCCTCCCATCCTGTCTATGGTGCAGTGACCCACAATAAGTTTAAATACTTGACGGTTAACTTGTGTGACAAGGTGTAATGTCAGGCAGTAGCAGTGTAAGGACCTGTTTTGTCTTAGCTTTTTATTTTTATAACTATGAAGCTTTGTGGCTATTGCAGTAGTACAAGGATTTTGTTTTTGTAGTGATTAGGCTCCGAGCTGCAGTATTAGTGCAAAGGCCTTAGTAATTAGGCTTCATGACTGCAGTAGTGTAACATCCTGTTTTTGTAGCATTTAGACTGCAATAACAGTATGAGAACCTTGGCAGTTAGGTTTTGCGGCTGCAGTAGCAGTGCAAAGACCTTATTTTAGGCTCCATGGCTATCGTATTAGTGCATGGACCTTTGCTAAATAGATTGCAGGCTCTGTGACTAAGATAACAGTACAGTGTATTTAAAAAACCAAGTTTACTTTTAGTCACCATAACTCAATCCTGTATATACTTGAATACTCACATGTATATGCACAAACTTTACTGATGCCGATCGTACTGGTCTTGCGTGGCACAACGTGCTGCGCAGCTACCTAATTATTAATATAGATTTGATAATAAATATATATATACTAGTAAAAATAAGGCATCACTAACACCCTATCAAGATAATTCCGCTAGTACATATTATAATTATAATCCCACACCATTTTATTATAATAAAAATGGTGTGGGATTATAATCATTACATGTACCAGCGGAATGATCTGATATTGTAAAATAATTTTTTTATCTGCTGCACACCAGGTGAAAGATCAGTTGCATAACATCGACGTTTACTCCTGTTCCAATATTATAGTTTTACAAGCAAAGTTGCGAAGTCATTTTTCTCATTTGAATACAAAACAAAAGGTTTAGTTCAGCTAACTTTTTAAATTCTTCAAG